CAGGGGGGTGGTTCATCCTGATACTTCGGGCCCTACTCCCCACCTATCCTCTCCATTATGGACCTGACTGGATTCTTAGTTTTTTTTTTTAAATCAAGTCCCGGGATTATTAATCTTGATACCGAATTTTATTTATAATCAGATAAATTAATTTAATTCAAGGTTAATCTTTAAAAAATCTGAGATTCTAAATGAAATTTTAAGATATTGATTTGTTTCAATTTAACATTCTATCGCAAGTTCCCTTTTTTATTTCTTATAAATCAAAAATAATTAATTTACTGACATTAATGATCTTTATTATATCATAATTCTTCCGGAAAATCTCAAAAAAATAAAATAAAGTAAAATAACACGGAACTTTCTGAAAAGTTTCCGCTTGGAGAGGAGACCGACAATAGAAAAATCCAACAATACTTTCGAACAATTCGTTATTTTCGAAGGTTAGACGTTCCGAAAATACGTCACGTTTTAATACGTTACTCAGAATATTAATTTGAAATGAAACAGACTGGGTGGCAACACTGCGATATTGAAGGAGAGTAGGGCGCCACGCAGTTGGAGGATGCTTGCCTCTATTGGATGAGATTATTTTTAGATTCTTTGGATCCTACAGTGAATGTACTATATCCGTAATCCTTACATGTACAATACAATACAAATTTAATATAATACGAAATTTAATACATGGGATTTATTAATCATATGTATTAGATTTCGAATTTTGTTCCACCTTCAGGAAAAGTTACTATTGCTGGCCTAGGTCTTCGTTTCTGAAAAATTGCAACGGAAAACAGAAACAGAAAATTAAGAAAAATTATGTCTATGCGGCGGTTCTATTTTCTGGAAATGTAAAATGTCTGTCATGAAAAACAGAAATTCGAATGACGTCAGAATTTGAAGATGGATAATAGTATAATCGGCAATAAATTATTCATCGGTTATTAAATATTGACGTATGTCTAAATTATTCCTAATATAGAGGAATGCTTATGTTTCGTCCTAACGATCGATGTACCTAATGATTTTTTCTGTGTTCATGAAGGAAGTTCTCTTATACTGTATTCAATTTATTTGAATGAATAAAAAAAGACAAAATTTTTCTCAACTTCTCTCAATGTTGTTAATATGATTCGTGTGACTGCTGGATGGCCAAGCAGTCAAGGTGGCAGCCGCCGCTCTGGGGGACCCGAGATCGAATCCAGACGAGTCGAATAATCTCCAAAAATTTTTCGAAGGGATGGTCCGATCAGATATGTCGGCCCGTCCCTCACTACCCGGTCGCGCCCATTGTGAGCCTGGTAATGGGATTGCTAAAAGAGGCCCTCTTAGTGCCGCAGGGCGGAGTTTAAAAAAAAGAAATATATATATATATATATGATTTATGTAACAAGTAAGGATAATAATAAATAATAATAATAAATTGAAAAAAATTAACACGCATAACTTTAGTAAAAAAAAAAACTCTAGTAGTAATAAGACATGTAACTTTTCTGTAAAATGTTAAAATTGTTTGTGGAGCCATGTTATAAGATTTTATTTTAAAAGAATTTTATATTATTATTATTAGTATAAAATGACAAAATGCTTAATTTTGAGGGTAGAGATGAATTATATACAGTAATACCTCGACTTACGCGAATCCGGAGTTAAGCGATTTTCAAATCTCGTCGATTCGTCTTTTGTTTGAGCGCCACGCAACTCTCGATTACTCACTCCCCCACACTATTGTTCAGCTTACATGTTCGGACGTGTCGAGCGGAATCGACGCATAGTTACAATTTTTTTTTGTGTTATTTATTTCTGTGTTTGTTATATCTACGGAGACTTGAGAGACACTATGTGATGAATTCTTGTAACCGTGAACGAATCAAAAGACGAGATAAGATTAACGGGAACATTTATTAGCTTACATACATCCGACTTGGACTTTACACAAATTGAGAAATTATACTCCGACTTACGCGGTTATCGCTCGGTCTCACCTATCGCGTAAGTTCGGGGTATTACTGTATATCACTACAAATGTTAATAGCAAGGTTGCGGCCGAAGTTTTCAACGCGAAAACGTCGAACGTTGAACGCCGCCAACTTGTAAACCTAGAAGTTTGACAATGGCGTTTGGAACGTCCGCGTTGAAAACTTCTGCGCAACCACGCTGTTAACGAGTAAAAATCTTTAACAAGTCCGACCCCATTCGAATACGACACGTGACCCCATCTCCCTACCCTTCGACCTTTAATCTCTAAATTTTAATAGCATCAATGCCATATCAATTTGTACCAATCATACACGAGAGTATTTATATTCATTCCGCAATTTTCAATACTTTTAATTCAATCTAAAGGCAATTGTAGTCAATGCTAATTTCCGCGCTAAAAATTTGACATTAAATAATCAGGCATTTCTTATTTCTCTGCTGAATGTGTTCAACATATTTTCTAACTGATAAAACGATTTCATAAAAATACATCTAAAATTGCAAATATTTTGAAATAAAAATGTCCATAAAATATTTCAGTATTAATTATATTATTTATTTTTAATATTAATTATTCTGATATTTTGACACCTTTTAATTCATGGAACCAGATTTGCTTGCTCTCCAATAACTATATTCATTTCGTAACACTTTCTTGACTTCATTCTTTCGAAGAATTAACAAATGGGGTTTGTCCCAAATAGGAATCGAATTGAGGATTATTATTACTATTAACTAGTTCAGGATTACTGAACTATATATAGTTCAGTAATCCTGAATAACTGTTAATATATATTATTAAATTTTACAATATTCCATAAACTTTAGAAGTGACTCTTACTATTGACCATCCACTTTATGCATGCAATGTTCTAGAATTTTTTAACGTCCATTTAGTTTGTAGGTTGACGGCCTATGTGGTTAAGGCATCGGCCCTATGAGATATGTAAAAGTGATATCAAGTAGGCTTTATGTCACATGACAATAGGATAACATTCGCATGATATATGGCTACTCGTATATTATTGAACCATGCGATTCTTTAACAATGCCGACTTCTTGTTGTGATGGGCATTAATACATACAAAATTATCATCAAATAAACAGCAGCTTTTCCATTAAACAAAATATTTAATATTTGTTTCCGTTATAATCACTCATTATTTTTTTTCCACTTTATAGTTTATTGTTCTGATAATTATATCGGTAGATTAAAACGTACGTATATAATTAATAACCAAACAACTTTATCGTTGCCGAGAATAAAGGTGTTTGGTTATTAATTATTATTTTGCTGAGCACGTCCCTTTTAAACGTACAGTACGTATATATTAAAATAGTAGGTCTCGACTGACAAAGCATTTTTGTCCATGCCAGGCATTTCTTTCACACAAAATTTTGAAAACAGTGGGTTTTTCCTAGCGTGACAACTGTTAGACCAAATTTATTCAATGGGTTTTTGATTGATCACACAAACGTATTTGTCGATCTATTTGTAAAATATTGTTTCGTTTTGGAGCTGATATAACTGAATTTTTCATTGCTTCTTGTAACATTCCTTTGTCCTCAAAAACTGAAGTTTTTCTTGGCTGTTCAGTTTAGCAAATTTGTAACAGTTCCATAAGTTTTGAACTTTTTCACAATACTTCTAATAGCAACCACATGAATACCAGTTAACTAATGGATTCTTTTATAAGCTAGTCTAATTTTGTTAAGTTGAATAATTTTTTCTTTTATTGCTTGCAATAGCACCTTTCCATTCATCTGCATAAAGTAATTTTGGGTTAATTTAAAATGCTAAAGAGCTAATGTTAGAATTTACTCTTAATTATGTTAGTAAATTTCTTTTCTTATGCAATATATACACTTTTTCTTATGCAATATATACATTTTTTACATAGGAACTAACACTTGCAAATTAAAATTAATCCTTTTTAATTTATGTAGGTTAGAAAAGTTATTTTAATATGATGATTACCTATAGTTTTCTGTTTTTTTTCTTTTTTTTAAATATAAAATAATATCAGGAATATACAAAAGTTTGTGTTCATTTTCAACACACCAGTGACAGCCCCAGTGACAGCCCAAAACAATTTTCAAATACAGCGAGAACCCTTTTTTTTGCATAGACAGAGCTCAAATAAAAGGTTGTCTCCCTATTTATGTTAAAAATTAATAAAATTAATTTTTACAAATAGCAATAACTTGCCATCTACAGCTAATGTACGAGGACTGTTCAAAAAGTATCAGACCTTTGGTCAGCAAAAATACATTTATTGATTTTGAGGTACAAAACCCTAATCCCCTTTAAAAGTTGTCTCCTTGGTAGCGTATACACTTCTCCCAGCGTTCCTGCCATTGCTGGAAACACTGTTGGAATGATCTTTTGGAATGGCCATCAGCCGATCTGCCGCATTCCGCGCGATGCCTTCTCTCGACTAAAATCGGGTTCCTTTTAGCGGCATTTTCAGCTTGGGAAATAGCCAAAGGTCACACGGAGCTATGTGGGGAGAGTACGGAGCGTGACGAATCACAGGAGTGTTGTGTTTGGCGACGAAAGCCTGAATCAGATGCGCAGAATGGGCGGATACGTTATCACAATGGAGCTGCCAAGTTTTGATCGACCACAGATCTGTTTGTTTGCGTCGCACAGCATCGGAAAGACGACGAAGGACCTCCTGGTAGTACTCCTTTGCAATAGTTTGGCCTTGTGGTGCGTGCTCATGATACACCACCCCACAAGAGTCGAAAAAACTGTCAACATGACCTTGATATTGCCGCGGACCTGCCGCGCTTTTTTTGGCCTCGAGGATCATCCCCGAAAGCCTGCTAAATCTTGCGAATGGTTTACGCTTGGGTATCGCCAAGGTTTTTGGCAAAATTTGATGTAATATCGCTGCTCACGTTGTTCAGTCATTTTCCAGCTTAGTGGAATCTGATGAGAGCTCACTACATGTCCTCACTCACAGGCTGACTGCCAATGACTAATGCTTCCTGCAGACGGGAAAAAATTCAGAGCTATGCATGACTGTCCCCTCCACAACTCCACTGAAAGAGGCCTCCCGCGCATCATTGGTTTACGCGGAAAAAATAAAAGTCCGATACTTTTTGAACAGACCTCATATTTTACTGAGTTGTTTAAACTGTGTCACTTGTGTATTTAAGAGATGAAATATTTGTGTAATTTTAAAACAGAAAAGACTACTTTGCCTTAAAAGCCAAATTTAAATTTATTTTCTTAAATATGACAATGATTTAATATATAAAAAGCTGTATAATTTTATTTTCATTATGCGATTAAATATATTTAAATATTATACCAGTTTCAAGATCTTCTCTGTTTACTCCATATATACATGACTTGAACTTCAATCTATTAAAACAAACAGATAAAAAAATTATAGAAATATATTTTTTGATATAAAAAAATATCAAGAAATTTATAAAAATTACAATTTTCCAGAAAAAATGAGAAATATTTTCAATTTGACTGGCAATTTCTTGTATTTCTCCTGAATATCTATAATGGTAAAATAATAATAATCAAACAAAATTTATTTTATGAAATTCAAAAATAAATTTTCTTTTTAAAGATTTAATTCAAAATATAACAGAAATTATTCTGAATTTGAAAATAGGTATTTTGTCTTAAGGTATGATAAAACAGATTACAATAAAATATAATGTCTTCGAAAATTGAAAAATTTTAAATGCTTTTGTAATTGAAAATTAAAAGTACAATGAATGATTGGTTAATGAACATGTCCAACATTGTATACTATACATTCTCATGATTTAAAATTAATCCAAGGCTGTGGAGTCACGTAAAAATCTACCGACTCCAACTCCGACTTTTCCTTATCATCCGACTCCGACTCTGGCTAAAACACCAAAATTCCACGACTCCGACTCAACAGCCCTGCCAGGGCTGTGGAGTCGTGTAAAAATCTACCGACTCCAACTCCGACTTTTCCTTACCATCCGACTCCGACTCCACAGCCCTGAATTAATCATTCTGAATGCAACAATAAAACTGGTCATCTCAAAGAGGATTATGAGTCTGAATGGCCATTGATCAGATAAAGTTCAACTTAAGGAGAATTAAAAACAACAAGTCCTATGAAATAAAAGTTCTGTTCTAAGAAAAGTGGTCATCTAAAGAAATGGTTGGCTTAAATGGATGGTCATCTGGAGAAGTTTTACTGTACTTGCTTTCCAATCTTTAGCATTCTAAGCCATTGTCTAAGCAAAATTTTGTTATTAATGGAAGGAAATGTTTTCTAATGAACATTGAGGGCACTACAGAAAATTTTGTTTTTGTCTAGATCAGTGATTCTCAACCGGTGGTATATGTACTCCTAGGGGTACAAGCGTAAATCAAAGGGGTAATCTAACTTTCATTATAAAATGGCATATGTTAATCAATTTGCTGTAAATTATTAACACAAGAAACAATAAATGACAAAAATCTTGCTTTAAAATATCCCTTTTAACAGTCCAAACAACTTGTTTATCCACTTGATTTGCCTACCTATTTGTGCCGTTAGTGCTGAGTGAACCTGTAGTCTAGTAAAATTACGGTTTAACCAAACATTAATTTTAGAATAGAAAAATTTTTTTTCTATTTTATAATTATTGCTCTATGAGATTGGGGCTTTTCGTGTTTTTACTGGACTACTGGTATTAGGAATAATGAGACCTGGATCATACCCTCACCATGCAATGTGTGTCACTGCATGCGCACATTACTTGATATTTAGCAAATTTAGATGTTATGTTTGTTACAAAAATTGAAAGATTCATTTATTGTTCTGCACATTATAAATTTGCAGCTATTACATTGTAAGTACACAATTATAATCTCTATTTAACAACATGAGAACCAAATTTTGAAAAAATTGCTGAAGATTTATCGCAACAAATATCCCATTAAATTTTGTTAGAAATTATTGTAGAATAATTTAAATTTTCTATATCATTAATTATAATTATTTATTTTTAGAAAATGTAATTTATGAATGTATTGAAATGACTTCTGTGATTTTATATAGCCTAATATACTTATCAAATAATAATAAATAAATGTATGTACCTGATTAAATTTATTATTATTTACGTAAAATAAGTAATTCACTTTTAGTTATATAGTTAGTTAGTTAGTTTTTTATGGCGCTCAGTTATAAGGGCTGTATACATCTAATGCAGTAATTATAAAATTTACATACAAAAATATAAGGGGTACTTGAAAAACAACTAATGGGCTAATGGAGTACATCAACAAAAAAGGTTGAGAACCACTGGTCTAGATCAGTGATTTTCAACTGGTAGTTAAGAAAATTTTTGAAGATTATTAAATAAATTATTTTCAGAAGAAACCCAAATAATAATAAGTGTACATGTCAAAATTAAAACCTCTTTAAATTGATTATATGAGTTTTCACTGTTATAATAAATAAACGTATACATAATGTAGTAAAAAATATATATAATTCATAAGCAAAATTATATCTGCCTAACATCTGATTATTTCATTTAAATGAAATTTTCTTTAAAACAAAAATGTATCTATAACCCAATTGTCCATATTTAGTTCAAATTATTTTAATAGTAGAACATTGTGCAGGTTTCTAAAGGCAATTATCATGACACTTTTAAATGCAAATTAAGACTAAATGTTAATTGATTTTCTTATGTAAATGAAAATTATTAATTTAAATAACTATTGTTAAAACCTGCTGCTATATTAAGAAACAACAATACTGTTTTATTTAATTCACAAAAAATATAAACAAAAAGACTTAGGTTAAGTGGCAAGTAATATGGCAATAGAATGTTTACAAACAACTTTAAATCATATGATTTTTTTCACTGTATAGCATTATAATAAGTGTGCTGCAGAAATTTAACTATAGGTTCAAGTGTGTCGTAAGATAAAAAAGGTTGAAAAACACTTGTCTAGATGATTCTTTTGCATGCTCATTAATAAAATAAAACAATCAAAATAACTTAAAATCACACAAACTGAAGTGACTCAAATGACTGTTATTTTCCAAAATGATCAGTGTTGCCACAATGATTTGTCATATTCAGATAAACCTGAAATTTATTAGAATTTTTCCCATAAGAAATAATGGAAAAAATTTACATATATTTAAATCGCTTTCAGAAATGCATTAAGATTTGGATAATTAGATATGGCTGTTTATAAAACTGATATTTATATAAATAATAATTATTATTTGCAATGTGGATATGAAGACCATTGAAAAACAATAAGGAATGCCAGGACTGGGCTACTAAAGTAATCAAAGGGGTCTATGAAATCAAAAGTAGTATAATAATTCATTACATAAAAATTATACATCTGAAATGACTGAATGATTGATTAATTGACATAAGGTATCAGCATATTAAGACCCTACAGATGGCTACAATTTCATCCATTGTATGAGTTTAACTCAACAGAGTGACCAAAGTAGCTGAGGAAGATTGGGGACAATATTCTCCAATTACTATTCATATTACTCAAGATAAATTACAGGAGTCCAGATAGATATTTGAGTTCAAACTTCCATAAAAGTAATAAGCTGATACTTTACTGAATAGCCATCCAGCTGATACATCTGAAGTGAACATTTAAAACTATGTTACTAAACAAGAAGCTTATCCTATTAAATGAGTATATGATAAAATCCATAATTGAACATTTTACTAAGTAAAATGTGAATTCTTGAAAACATCATTTTGCTTATCAGAAATACTAAAATGTTTAATGGCTATGTATAACAGTGACATCTTATTAAATAGGATTTTTACAATAATATGAAATTATTTAGTTTCTAATATACATTAAGTAATTGGGACTCTACTACATATACATATATAAACAAAATTTAAAAATTAGTTAAACTGAGTATGTTTTCTACTAAAGCTGCTTTGTTAAAATACAGTTAAGATATTTCTGCTTTAAGCTAGCCACTGTAGTGCTAAGTGCAGTAAGATTTATAAGCATTGAAGGCAAAAGTTAAAATAGCTCCCACCGTAAATTATATGGATACAGTAGAGCGTCAATTATCCGAATCAATTGGGGACTGGGGTTGTTTGGGAAATCGATATTTCGGATAACTGATTATATATGAAAAAATATATTAACCTATCCCATGTTGAAATTTTTCTCCATTGGGTGTCGCTTCGCGTTGAATTTTCATTGATGTTAAGCCTAACGAAGACTATTGTATCTTTAAAAATTATTTTTTTATTTTGTACAAACAAAATAAATATATTGAAAAATATAAAAACAATAAAAAATTATACTTCAGAAGTTAATTTAGTATCAAAAACGTAAAATATTTGAGTAGCCCAAGACA